AACAAAAAAAGTGGACCTTTATGTTTTTAATGTGTTCCTCCCTTAGCTTTTCCATAGCTATTACTCATTTGGAGACAGGAAATGAATAGAAAATTCTAAGAATAAAATCATAGCTTAAAAAAAACATGTTTTTTCCAGAATAATGGCAGCCCCAGTCAATATTAATAGAAAAAGACTCAAGTGTACTTTTATTTTCAATATAGAACACATTCTAGTCACTTAAGTTTAGAACCAAACTTCACCCAACCTAATTTTTTAGGAGATTATAGACAGGTATGTGTGAGAGACAATTTAAATAGAGAATGAAATGCAAATCTCAACAACCAACCCTATGGGGGAGGACAGGTGTGGAGGTAGGAAAGAGAAAACTAGAGAGAAATATTAAGCAGATTTCAAGTTACTTGTCACATAAAAATAAGCCTGGAGATAAGTGTTGGATCGGGTACCTTATTAATAAAGGAGGAGGATTATGCATTTAGTGATCAAGTTAGCTGAAATAAAGATGCCTTGGAAACAAAAGTTGGTGCAGAAAGACTTGAAACTATGACTTGAGAGAACAATTTCAAATCTATAAATTGAGCAGTCCATTAGAAACATTATTCCTTAAAACTAGGGTTGGGTTGAGGTAAGTTTTACATGGAAGCCTGAATTTATATGAAATATTTTCCATCCTATGACATGTTTTCTCTAAATTATACATTCAATTCCATATTGCTTCCTCTGTACCAATCTGAATGTGAAATTATCTGTTGATACAACTGCAGCACTGAATTTAAAAGAACACGTTTATTTGGGATATAGAGGTAGCCCAGTTGGCCAATAAACTTCTAGGCACTTGATGTGGTCACTTCCTTCAGATATTCCTTCCAAGAGAAGACCAATAGTTGTATCTCCACTATTTCAACAACAAAGTGACTAACTCCAAAGGGCCTGGAGAGGGAGAGAAAGGTATTAGGATCCAGGGAAAGGAGCCAGCCTTTCACTGTCCTCAAAGTAGAAATGCAGCCACTCAAGGATCCTGCAGTTTTCATATTCCCCCCAATAAAACCTCACCAATCTGTTCTTGTGCTTGATTCTTTATCATTCACCAGAGTGGCTTGTGCTGCCTATTTTTCATTCATCTGCATAACTTTAAACATAACTTTGCAATTTTAAAGAGCTGTAGTAAGTCTTTAGGATGTATAGTTTATTCTCAAAGTTAAGGTCTTCTGGAGAATATTAATTATGTGTGTTAGAGACCTATTGTAAAATTGACCCACATTTCGTATGCACCTAAATAACTGGAAAATAATTGTTAAATAACATATCTAAAGGTAAAAAGACTAAAAGTCATGTCTAAATAAGATTAGAGAACAGTATGGGACATTACTTAAAATTTATTATCCTATATAATAAAAAGCTAATATGCAAATCAACCAAATGGCGGAATGACTAGCTGCTATGACACTCACTGACCACCACTCACTGACCAGGGGGCAGACGCTCAATGCAGGAGCTGCCCCCTGGTGGTCAGTGCGCTCCCACAGGGGGTGCGCTGCTCAGCCACAAGCGGGGCTGATGGCTGGTGAGTGCAGTGGCAATGGCGGGAACCTCTCCCGTCTCTGCGACAGCACTAAGGATGTCTGATTGATGGGCCTAAGCCATCAGTCGGACATCCCCCGAGGGCTCCCGGACTGCTAAAGGTTGCAGGCCGGGCTGATGGGAGATCCCCCCACCTCCCCAGTGCACGAATGTCGTGCAGGAATGTCGTGCACGAATGTCATGCAGGAATGTCGTGCACTGGGCCTCTAGTGTGAAATAAAACCCATCATACTCTTTAGGTTGTGTAGGCAGGACTCTCCCAAGCCCTGTAAGCTTGGGGACTGAGATTACAGAAGAAACTTTACTCGGCAAAATTCCAGCCATTTGCCACAGTATAGACACTTCTTAGAAAAACAAATAAATTTACAATAAACTTTTACCCAAATTTAAGGTTTAGTTGTACAATCTAACGATTGTAGTATAGAAGTACCTTCCATCTTCCATCTGTTAGTCAATTCTAAGTATAAGAAGCATATTCAAAAACAGAATTGTATCTTTCTATGTTTCTGTTGCATATTAGTCATTATTCCTTCTTTCCTCAGCTCCCAAATAAAAATAATGATCTATATATTCACTATAAGTACTTGAAAAGATCCTGAGAAACCATAGTCTGATGGGAATGTGGATAATTTATTTATGGTCATGAATTTTATTTCATCCAAAGAAGAAAAGTATTAAAAAATCAATATATTATCTGAAATTGTTGTAATATTGTATGTCTTAAGAAATTTTCTAAAGTGGCCTAATATTATGTAAATTGAACAATGTGATAAACTTGAAAATTCATCTAACTTTATCTTTATTAACTCATTAAGAGTTGCTGCTGACCAAATAGTTTAAAAAAGTAAAACAATTTCTTCTGCCAGAGTGAAAGAGAGAGGGAACTATGTAATATCCAAATGGAATAAAAAAAATGCATATGCTGCAGGCCCCTTTAAGAATCACTGTCTAGCTGATAAATAATGATATATTTGAAAGATATCTTAAATTATAAGTGCTATAAAAATTGGGCACAGTGAGAGCATTACAAAGAGCAGAAAAATCCATTGTCAGCTTCACGAAAGACAGAATTTCAAGGAAGAGGAGGTATTGGAGCTCCTCTTAGAGAATGAATAAAAATTACATCATCTGAGGAATGCAATTCCACCAGGAATCCATAATCAGAAAAATGCTGGAGAAAGGTATCCACAGCCATTGATAAGCGACATTCACTCTTTAGTCCCAATTTCAATTTGCGTTGAGAATATAGACCTACAGAGCTGTGAAAGGTGTAACGTGATTATTATACCTTGGTCCTAAATACTAGGAAGCAGTCATAAAATTGGATGAATAGATCTTCACCTGCTGATCACAGAAAAAGACAAAGAGACCAAATAAGAAGAGAAAACCTGGGTAAACTTCATTTGTCCACTCTCCATCAGAATAGCATAATGATCAAAATTACGTTAAGCCATGTATTGATTTCATGTTCATGGGATAGAGCCTTTTCCCCCATGGACTTACAAACTAATGCTAAGGTAACCATGTCTACTGCTATAAAACAGGTAAAATAAATACCACAGGTATTCTTAAAGGAGAGAAAATTTTACAAGAAAAATAATCAGGACATCCTATTTGAAGGATAGGTAGGGTGTCTAGATTCAAGATCAAAGGGAAAACAGTTCAGGATGAGAAACTAGAATGAACAGAGTTGGAATTAGAAAAGGGCCTGCCTCAGAGAATTATAGTGAATATAAAAATAAAAAATATGGAGACTAATAAATTGGGCATGGTCAACTCTCAATAAACATTGACTAATGGCTGGTAAATACACACTTAATCAACATCTGATATAAAATTGAGGACACAATCCAAATGAAACAACTAATATATTTGCTCAGAAGCATTCAAGAAATATTTCTGACCTTTTGGGATCATTGTAAAGGGATTGTAAAAAGTTTCATACTAATATTATTATCATTTATAAAGAAAAAATTTAGCCCAGTGTATAATGAGGATACATTTGCTTTAGAAAATTTCTCAGACATACCTTTTATCATGTCTTTAATTTATGAATATTACTGCCTCCCAGCCAAGTCATCTAAGTTAATTTTCCACTGAGAAAGATTTAAAAATTTAAAAGTTGTTTAGTACTCTAGGTCCAAATATTTAATTAAAATTTAGGGAAATAAGACATGGCAGGAGGGAGGAAGGAAGAATGGAGGGGGAGGGAGGGAGAGAGAGAGAGAGAGAGAGAATATGAATTGTAATTGAGATTTTCAAAATCATTAAGTAGAAAAACTAGAACTTGAATCCTGGGAGCTTCCTACTAGCTCTCCCATCAAAGATTATAAATTCACTTTGACATCAAGGGTTTTTGCTGATTGTGGTTGGAAAGAGCAAAATATGGTGGTTACTCAAAGGAGCAAAAATTAGCACTCCTTACTCATTGAGCATAACAACAAAAATGACAAAAAATACAAGCTAGCTTTATATATGGTTACTAAAATGCATATTTGTGTCTTCAGTGGAAAGGAGATCATGGCTGCTACTGGGCTGTGCATATAACCTGGGTCGCGGGCAATATGAATATTCAATTCTGACATCACTTTAAGATTCCAGTGGAAGAGGATGAACATTGCTTTTTAAAATCTTCCTCTCTCAGGCAGAGTTTTGAGGGTCCAAACTTAGGAGATTCATCAGCAAGGGTGTGTTATATTATATTTGTAAATTTCTTTCAGCTGCAAATTTCCATTACAGAATTACTAGCATTATGGTAATGAAGACATTAAATCACACTAGGATATCACATACCATGCTGAGAAAATGATAATACAAATTGCTAGGACAATAGGAATGTGTCCACCATAGAAGGGACAGTCATTTTTTGTACCCTGTTACCACAGCCAATTTCAACAGGGCATGAGTCTATCCCATTAACTAAATCCTAATGAAACTCTAGAATTACGGGGACAGGAAGCTTTCTTCTTCTATACTCAGGGCTGCCTTCAGTTCTATGGGCATATCCTTATTTACTTTATCAGTAGTATAGTTTTCATAGTCTTATGTTCTTTTTCAGGGCAGGTCAATTGAATACCATTACTTGGATATTCACAATGTTTATTCTGTGTAGTTTTTTGTGTTTTTTTTCCAAAAGTGTTTTTTCCCCTCTTTCTCTCTCTCTCTCTGTTTTTCTTCTGGCAAAACACCATGAACTGAAACTGCTTAACTGCATTTGGTGGTGGGGAGGGGGTGAGAGGAGAAGGAAATAGATAAATAGATGTGTTCTAAAGTAGTTCTTATATAACAAACTAAGGGTTTGGGGGAATTATTTGAATTACAAATATTTCCTATCCCAGAGCAGTGATTTTAACTCAGTGCAAACCTTCGCATGCAAATTCACATCTCAGGCCACTCACTTCTGTTCTATGTCCCTGCAGTTCCGCCCTGGTTCTTAAATCACCCGTCCAACCTCTACGCCTACGAGAGCATGGACATCGAGTTTGAGTGCGCGGTCTCGGGAAAGCCGGTGCCCACCGTGAACTGGATGAAGAACGGAGACGTGGTCATTCCTAGTGATTATTTTCAGATCGTGGTAACCATCTCTTCTCATATTCACTTCCCAATCCCACTCATTGCTTATTATGTTTTCAGGTGTATTCCTGTCCTGGGAAGGAGGTTCCTGTCTGGCATGGGTGTGATGTGTTGAAAACAACTGTCCTAAGAAAGCAAATAATGCTGGACTTAGAATTTTTGAGCTGAAAAGAGTGATCAAACAGGCCCCCTCCCTTTTTGGTTAATATTCACCCAAGAATATTTTCCCCATTGATTTATTTACAGAGGGTGGAAAGGAGGGAGAGGGGGAGAGAGATAGAGATGGAGATGGAGATGGAGATGGAGATGGAGATAGAGAAGAGAGAGAGAGAGAGAGAGAGAGAGAGAGAGAGAGAGAGAGAGACAGACAGACAGACATAGACATTGGTTGCCTTCCGCATATACCCCGACTGGGGCCAACGATTGAACACGCTTTTGATTGTGAATCAAACGCGCAAGACCTCTGGTCTGCCTGAGAGCTGATACTCCAACCACTGAGCAACACAAGCCAGCCTCCCCCACCCCTTTTTGTTTTCAACAGACAAGGTTTTAAACGAGGACTTAGGACTTATTTCCAAGTACTCTCATTGCTGTTCTTGGGAAAACAGTTCAGGACCTTGCTCTGGTCTATGTGAAGCCAGGAATCTGTTACTGCTGAGACTTACCTATTGTAATGAAGTTTCATTAGAGGTGCTACTGTGATTGCGGTAGTCTTACTTGGGTGATACAGGCAGCTCCTGCCAGCGAGGACCAGCTGACCTGACATGAGAGTCCACAGGGCAGGGGTGATGCTGACGGTGATGGTGGTAGTGGCCGTGGCAGAGAAGCCGGAGTTGACATTGCGTTATAATTTTGAACATTTTGAAGCTAAGAACAGTAGTTCTCGTTTACTCTAAGTCTCAGTACACACTAGGTTCCTATCCTTTTGGGAGACAATAGGGGTAATGGTACCCTAGTCACTGAGTTGTTGTCCTGGCTCATAGTGAAAGCTCGATACTATATTATTGTTGTTCTTTTGACTGTTACCAGCAGAATTCTTTGCTCAATGATAAATGCTCTATGAAAACTCTCCTTGAGATGTCGGTTAGCATTGGAGGTTCTGAATTCACATACATAAACATATGAGAAACACTTTCCAAATGTTAAAGAACGTTTGCAGCCAAAGAAAGGTATGTGGGGTCCACATCTGTCAAGAAAGAATGTTCTTCTAAGCCAGGTCTCCCCATAGAATGGGGCTGGAACATAGGCGCCCTGCGGGCTGA